TAAACTTTATTTTTCTTTCATTATTTCTTATCAGTTACGCCAGTGAATTTAGGCTGGGATGAGTCTCAGAACAAGCTAAATAGTGATTCACTTTCATTTTTTTTTCACTTCTTCTCTGTGCTCTTGTGCAGAACTGAGAACACATGAGTGATGGAGGTGCGAACAACTGATCAGCAGATATTACAAACAGAGCAAGTGCTAATTAAACCAAAGGCAGCTTGTCTGGAACCTCTGAGCAATTCTGCTATTACTCACAAAACAAATGCTACACAAGTTATAACTTCGATGACATCTGCAAGTCAGATGAAGAGGCATTTCTGATCTACAGCTTGTGGTTTTTTCCATGTGTAAGAGGATATGGAGATGTTTTAGTATACTATCTAATAGATGTGCAGATCTAAAAATGTCGGTCCAAAGGATGTGACTCACTCAGTGTCTTTTATAAAAATATATGTAGTCTTATATTAAATTCTGTATCTGTCAGATGGTTTATTAAATGACATTTATGAACATTATAAAATGTAAAACACACTTTGAGCTCAGTTTAAGACATTAGAGGTGTACAATGGCAACAAGTGACAAAGGGTTATCAGTGCTTGTCCTTCAGTATTCATCTGCTCCGCTTCTTCCTAAAAAGCAGGATCCTTCATCTGTCTGCAGTCTCTCCAAGCTGTGCTTTTTATCACATGTTTAACAAGCCATGTCCTCATTGGTGCTGTCAACACCCCGCCCCCAACACACACTCACACCAGCTCACCACGTCTGTAGGGACTACTGATAATAAAGGTGTGTCTTTACATGTGGAAAACGTGTGTTTCTTTAATCTCTGTGTTAGTCAATTTACTTGGCTATTTAAAAGCCATTTAATATGTGTCTTCGACTGTGCAGATTGTGCTATTGTGGTGCTGGTGCTAGAATCAATACTGCATTAGTTTAGCAGTGAAAACCCAACAAAAATACACATCACATGACCTTAGATAAGCCAATCAACTGACAGAGTCTGTGTTATAATATCAAAATTGAGGTTTTGAGGTTTGTGTATGTCTGTGGAAGAAATCTATATGCTAGTGTAGCTTTTGCAGATGTACACGTTCCAAATTTACAGTCTTTCTCACAAATCATGACGACATTATCTTGCATCAGGGTTCATGGCTGTGACATAAAACCAAAAACTATTTGCCCTTCAATACGGCCCATCCAAAATGTCAGTTTCAATAGGAAATATAATAACGTAGCATATGGGGTCACATAACATAAATGTAATATTGAAAATAAATGAATTATGTGTATGTTGAATTAAAATTATTAAGACGTGGATGGTGGATGAGCACATTAATGGGAAGGTTAATAAAATAACCCTGTGTGTACAAGTAATTAATTTGCATCTCATACTTCAAAGACATTCCAGCATTCCTGCATAACGCCACTCCACAAAAGAGAGACGGGGAAATATCTGTGTTATGGCTGAACAGGGACATCCAGATTTATTCCCCCCATTTTCAAAGAGAAGTCCATAATGAATTGCTGCGTTAGGGAGGAAATCTCGCCTCTGATTATTCACTGTGGAAACGGTTGTGTTTTCTCAGCATTGCCCTGCTGCTTTCTCAGTGCATATTTGAGCTGAGGAAACACATTTTCTTTGTTTCCAAGGAGACGAGAAAAAAATGAAGAACTATTTGTCTGCTGTCAGAGAAAGCACAGCATCTCTAGAACAGAGGGAAACTACTTTGAAGTGTCTGCAGTTTCTGTCCATGAAGGAGAGGATAATTGCAACACTCTTTGGTTTTTGCTCACTAATTAAAAAAATGTTTAGCCTAAACGTTGAAATATTTTCTAAATTCCATTTACATATTAGCTGCCATCTGGGTAGATTACTTATAAATTGTAATCCGTTACTGATTCCAAATTACATGACAAATTGTAGTTATGTAATCCATTACATTACACATTTTAGGAAATATAATCAGCCTACTTTTAGATTACTTTTGACATATCTTGTTTTTCACATTGATTTAAATTGCACCATATATAAAAATACAAAGAGTAAAGATGATTTATGCATCTCAATTTCGAAAAATTTACCCTTATGACTGGTTTTGTGCTCCGGGGTCACATATTTCATTTGTTGTTATCAACAACATGAAGTGCATTAAACATTATACTATGTCAAGGTTTCCCAAACTGCGTTTGTGAAGGAACTGCAGGGGGTTTGTGAGTTCAATGAAAAGCTATCATAAAATTGGTCAATTAAAACAAATAATTTTAAAATGAATCAAAATAAAACACTTACTGAAAGAAAATTAAGTATTTTATTTGTTTACCTGCATGTCATGTGACCACAGAGAACCATGAACATGCAAATGTGTTAATTATTATAAATGTATTTATTTTAAAATCTCAGGGGTACTTCAAATAAAAATATATTATACTGAAAGAGGATCAGATGACAAAAAAAAAGTTGGTGAATTTGTGAATTTTAATGTGTTTAAAAGACAAACGCCTTCCAAAGTAATACATGGTAAAATAACCGACTGAGTGATAATTCAAATAAAAATGAATGTGTTCATCAGTAGTTGAAGCAATGTTGAAACACTTCTTAATCCTGAAATGATTTGTGTGTGTGTGTGTGTGTGTGTAAATCCTGTGGTCAAATGCTGTGTATCCATCTGACTAATGACTGATCTCTCCTCAAAACTGAAGACTTTCTGAGTGTATATAAGCGGTAGGAGAAAGGAAAGGAAAGTTTAGTAGATGAAAAAGAGGAATTAGGGAGAATCAATAAATTATGAATAAATTATTGCTATTGTGTAAACAATATGCAATCATGTAATCAATAAAAAAGTAACTGTAGTCCGATTATGAGTATTTTAAAATGTAAATTAATCTAATTACAAGTACTTAATTTTTGGAATCTGATTACGTAATCCATGTAATCTACCCAGCTCTAGCTGCTATGTATATTAGGCGTACATACTAATGTTAATCAAAACACAACACATTCTCAAACAATATAGACAATACATGTTTGTGTGAATGACACTGTGTGCACCTTCTATATATAAGTATTGCTTTCTCAGCTCGTAGAAAAGCTGTTTGTGATGAGCTTCACATCATGTGACTTTCTCATCACCACCAGTTTTTGGTGGTTATCAGTGCATTACAATGGTTCAAAACAGATATTAACACTTCAATATGATGGTTTATTAACATTACATCAGTTAATGAAATACGGTATTTTACTGTGAATTTAAGTTAAGTCTGTAAAACCTAAAATGTTGCAACCCTATTTTTTACGGTGAAGTTCTGGCAACCACAGCTGCCGGTATTTTACCGTAAATGTCACAGATTTTTTTTTAAACAGTGTATTTATATAAATATTAGCACCATTTCAGTCTCCTAAACAACCAAAAATGTGATAAAAAATGTAGCAGGATGAATTCGTCATAAAGACTCTGCTTGTCACAGGACGTAAAATCCATTTCGAGATCAGATTAGACGGACTGCTTCTGTAGGCTATTTAGTAAGAGAACACGACCTGTTTGAAAAGGAAATTAGGTCCTCTTTTAAAGCATCAGCAAACAGCACGATGCTGTTGAGATTTCAGATGAAGTTATAAGCAATGCGGCTTCATTGCGGGTTTCGACAACCTCAAGTGACCTCATAAATCACCGAGCGTGGAGTGACCCCAGTCCATGCAGATTCCCGATCTCTTTCTCCTCCTCCTTAATGTGACAGACATATGAAACCCAGCCCACGAAGCACGCGTCTGCGTGTCCCCGGGGACCCATTTAAGAGGCGCACGCGTTCTCTGCCTGGCCTCTTCCTCGATTTCAAATGGAATCCTGTGCTTAATGCCAACGGTTGCCAAGGTGACAGGGATGCCACCATCTGTCACGCAGCCTATTCAGTGCAGCCCAGCAGCATCTCTCTTTAATGAAGGAGTGTATTTTTTAATTATACAGATGAAATACAGAATAAGCCTACTGTGCAATATATATATATATATATATATATATACAGAGCTGGGTAGATTACTTACAAATTGTAATCCGTTACTGATTCCAAATTACATTACAACAATTGTAGTAAGTAACATAATCCATTACATTACACATTAGGTAAAATAATCAGAATACTTTTAGATTACTTTTGAAGTTTCTTATTAGTCACATGAATTTAAATAGGATACTCTTGTACCATATTGATATAAAAATACAAAGATTAAGAAAATATATCCCATTTATTGTTATTAACAACATGACATGCATTAAATATTACATTATGTCAAGGTTTCTCAGACTGGGTTTGTGAAGGAACTGCAGGGGGTTATGATTTTAGTGAAAAGCTAATAATTAATTAAATAATAATAATAAAAAATATTAAATTCAAATAAATATATATTTTTAAAATCAATCAAAATAAAACACATACAAAAAAAAAATGAAATATTTTATTTGTTTACCTGCATGTCATGTGACCATAACCAACATCAGAGAGCCAAGAACATGAAAATGTGATACTTCATTATTAAAATATGTATTTTAATATCTCAGGGATACAAGTAAATATATTTGGTGTAAGAGGATCAGGATCAGGATCATTTATTTATTATTGTTGTTGTTTTCCACACGACTTTCTGAGTTTATAAGAATTAGGCTATTTTAGGCAGGAAAACTGAAAAAAACTTTAAATGAAATTACTTGATATTTTAGATTTCCTATGCCTGTGAGGAGGACTGAGTTTCTGTATTATGCATCTCAAGAGAAAACAAAACATGAAACCGACGGATATCAAAAAAATGACAACAAAGTAATTGCTGTTTCAACGAGGAAAAACCAGTTAAAATATAAAAACATGACAAATCTTTTAATAATTATAAAACGTGTGGAAAAATAAATGCACACACTTCTATCCTCAAATATAACATTTTCATTAGTTAAATTCACATCAAATGTTAAAAAAAAAATAATAGCGTTAAATTAGCTTCCAATCTGATGTATTTACAGCTTTAGCTGAATGATTAGATCAGTCCATATACTAATGTCTGTTACATTAAAGTCTCCAGCTTCCCGTTTGAGTGTTTTGAGTTCAGTTTCTGTCTCCTCTTTTAATGCTGGTCCTGAATTTAATACCTCTTTGAATCGATCAGTCAGTGCACTAAAGGTGACCGGCTCATCTGATGTCGGCACCCATAGACTCTCCAAGACGTCATACTCCAAGCAGGACGCCCAGCGTTTCAAAACCCCGCAGTATGCCTGCTTAAACTCGCAAGAGTGTCGGGAGAGGACAGCGCAAAGCCCGGGGGACAGAGACCTGCACACTTCACCCAAACATCCCTCGTGCTCCTGCAGCCAGGCGAGGACACAGCGCTGAGTGACGGAGCTCGTTTCGTCATCGGGGGAAAGGAACGCAGCTGCGATGACGTCATAAAGGCCCTCCGGGTTTCCCGCGCTGTCATGAAGGACGGAATCCAGCAGCGTCCTCGCATGCTCATCATTACCAGAGCTCAAGAGCTTCCCCAGCAGTGTGCCTCTGACCACTGCTTCAGCCTGTACCCCAGTCCTGTCCGGCGTGCGGCACAGCAGATTAAACGCTGATTTGCACGTCATGAGGCTGTTTTGGTCAAACTGGGATTCCTGTGCAGCCTAAAACGAGCTATAGCAAAACAATACTCGATCAAAATAGCTTATTGAACGCATGTTGAAACGTATCAATAGATTCTCATTTTACAAATTAAATGTAGCCTGTTTTATTTTACTTTTTATTGGTAAATACGTTTTTTTATTACCTTTTTTTCCCGGTCAGTTAAGTTTTTTTTTTCTTTCTTTCTTCTTCTTTTTTTTTTTTTTCTCTACTACGGGTCTAGTTTCATATTGTTGTGCAGCTCCGTAGCTCCCAGTCGCGCAGATAAAGACGCGTCGCGTCGCGTCGCTCAGGGAGGCGGTGAGATTGCGCGATGAGTCTATCGCAGGAGCGCACTTTGAACTGAGACCCGCAATGACAGTCGGGTGTTTGAGGCTCAGTCACGGTGAACAACAGTCTGAGCACCCTGTGCTGACAAAAGCATGAATTCATTGGAAACGACCGTCTGCTGCTGAAGAACCGACAGCATTCTGGAGGGTAAGTGTATAGGCTACTTTTGGGAATGACAAACGTTTTCCATAGATAGATAGATAGATAGATAGATCTTAATGAAATAAGATGGGTATAAGATAAATATTCTTAATAAAATAAAACGTAATTTAACGTAATGTAAAAAACAAATGTGTTTAAAAATGTTCCTTCAAGTTGGCAAAATACCTACTTATTTTTTTGCAGAAATAGTTTTGGGGAAATGCATTTCATATTTTAGATTCATCTGTACAATGCAGTCTGTTTTTGTGGTTTCTCTTTGTGTCAGAAATAGCGCATGAAAGCACCAGCAGCTTTGAAATATTACTACAGCCATAAAATGTCCAGCATGCCCACTTGAAAACAGAACATAAAAGCTTTTCTCCTCAGACTGCCGAAGGTATTTGAGTTTTTCTCTCATGTGAGCTGCCTCAGTAAAATGGGTTATTGTGCATTTAAAACGAACAGTTAAAGTGTGTAATAGCCCGTGAACTTAATTAAAGCCATGATGCATGAAAAATGAAGTAACTGGATTGTGCATGCAACTAGACCAAATCTTTGCTTAACTGGGGAAGAAAATATACTTTGAACTGAACTTGCATGCAAAAGGCCAAAATTCTGGTTGTATTTAGATAATGTGAGATGTGAGTCTTACACAGTAGTCCTGTGTGTATGTGATTTAGCCTTCACAGGCCTTTAAGGACACAATAGGTACAATGTGTGCCCTGTGCTTGTTGAACATGACACAGCATTGAGGATCAAATAACTGCAACAGAATTAGATAGGTGAGCTGAAGTATTAACAGTTATAATTTCTGCATCAGTCAAGGTCAAGTTTATGGTTTATGGATGGAAAGTGCACACAACATATGGAGAACACCTACTGCCTTTCACTCTGTTGCTACTGTTTGCTAGAAAAATATTGACTGTGAAAGAATATTACGTTGTTTAATATAATCGTCCCAGCTAAAGGTCTGAGTGTGTCACACTGTACACTGACCTTTGGTTTCAGCCATATGTGCTCAATATGTGTGTTCATATGTGTGGTGTTGAATGCACTGTAAATGTGCTCTCCGTCTGTGAACTCTGCGGGTTTGTGTTTGCTGAGCATCAGTTTCCAGGTGGTGACCATGCCGTTTGTGTAGATGCCATGTGTCAGGAAATGTTGAGTAGTCCGAGATTTTACTGAACGTATGTCTGGTTTTCAATTTTTATTTATTTATTTTTTATTTTTTTTTAAGAGTCACTTGGAAGAAAATCTGAGTGGTTCTTGTCCGGAAAACCAGAAGTCTCATTATCAGTATTGTTCTGAGTGGTTACTTGATGATCTGTGGCAAATAGAAAAGAGATCATGATAAAGAATAGGAAACATATTTAAAAAATGCAGCCAAGTTCTTAGTATTTTTTGCATGTTTGTTAGAGCAATAATTTTCTCTCACTTAGGTTGTTGCTGGAGAAACTTCTCTGTTAATTAAAAAAAAAAAAAAAAAAATATATATATCCATCTATTATTCAAACTGCTTATCCTCTGCATCTAATATTTTTTAATTATGACTTTTTAATAATATTTTTCAAGGTAAAAATATTTTTTACAAGTAAATATTTTTTCATAATTAGGCCTAATTGTTCATTCTTAAATATTATGTTTTAAGGAGACATTTTACTAACCATGCATTATCATAAAAATACAAAAAATATTATTCAAATATTTGATTCAAGATATATACATTTTTATAAAATGTCAGAAAAATTATTAGAATTTTTTTTCTAAGATTATGCCAAACTGCAAACAATAATTTAATTCTTTTAATGATGATTTTTTTTTTGTTATGATAAAATGGTTATATCACCCACATTTTTATGTTTAAATAAAAAAATAAATAAATACATAAATAAATAAATGGAATTTTAAGTCAGAAATTGGAATATTGTTCCTCACAGAAAATATGTAATCAGGTCAATGCATTGCATGTATGAAGTGCATTTTTAATGTACTGTGACTAATTTAACAGATCTATATGAAATAATGAGTGCCGTGTCATTGACCCTTGTCCGATGTGGTTGCTAAAGGAGGTCAAAAAAAGGTACCTTATTTACCCCTAAAGGTTGCATATTAATACCTTAAAGGTACATGTAAGTTCTAGGGCTAGAGTGTTCTGTAGGTTTTGTTTCGGGGTTCTGGGAGATTTCTTGGTGGTTGCCAACTCTTAAGTCCCTCTGCTATTCAGGTCTCTATATGTTTCTTGGCTCCCTCCTTCAATGTAACTGTACTGAATCTATCTCATCCGTTTTATTGTCTGCCAGATCTGATTGCTTAGAAATATAATAAAGATGCAGGCAACACTAATAAGGTCATTCTCACATTCTTTCGTATCAGCTTTCTCACTCGACACCCAATGAACACTGAATCTGTCTGGGAAATATTAAGAGCAGACAGACAGAACTGATATTATTAGTGGACTGCTGTTCACCTTGCCTATGTCCAAATGGGACAGCGTGTCCTCTTTTTTTTTTTTATTGTTTAGAGAGCCAGTAACACCTCTTTAATTTCTCTGGTTTCTTTTTCTCTCAACCTTTTCCAGCACAGGAGCTCTTTCAGAAAGAGAAAGAAAGAAAGAGGAGGTTTGGCTTTATCTGATAGACGTTTGGCAGGTAAAGTGAACTCTGGCGTTCTATTTTGTGGAACAAGGAAAATCTACAGATTGACTTTCAGTTCGCCTTCGCCTGCCAGCCATTCAGAGCCCACCGCAACAAAGTGACGACTGTTGGACCCGAGTCCTCATTCCCAGGTTGCTCAGTGGGATACAGGAGAGCAAAACGTAGGGAGAGGTCCCGTTCTGCATCACTGAAGATATATATACACTTCTCAGAACTCATAACTTCTCTCTAGTTCCTCGCATGAATTATGAGTAAAGGGGAATCCCTCGCAATGCTGGCTGGCATCACATATTATCACCACTTTTCTGCATTTGTAAAACACCAAACCACTGCATTTAATGCATTCTAACTATGGAACAAAACTTCAAGCAGCAATGATATAAAGTAACAAGATTTTCCGAGAGATGTTATATATTCAGAAGAACCATATTAACCCGCCTGTTGTGTATGAATCGCTTGTACTGTGGACTAAGGATGGGGGTAAAACCAACATAATTTGATGAGGTGATGATCATGACACCTTTTTTTCAAATTTTAGCCTTGGTGTCTGTGATTAAACGGTTTAGCAAACGTTTATTTTACAAATTAGTTGCAGCTTTTTCATGCACGTTGGCTGTGAAATTCTCTGTGTTTGGTTTTTGTGGAAACAGGGTCGAATTTGAGGTTTGCGGTCACTATTGCTGCAGTACTTGTGTGCTGTTTGGACACAATTCTTCTTAGTGTTCGACGGTCCCTATCAATTTACTTTCAGTTTTCACCCACTATTCTTCTTTGCAGATGATGTCCTGCCAAGTCTGGTCATAATTTTAAAGACTGTTGTTTTTAGTAAAACACCAAACAAGATGGATGACAATTCTACTAAATGCTTGGATTTTTTAATGTGACAAAATTATATCTAATGCATTGCAACTAATTCTGATGTTTCATTGGGAAGAGCATGTTCATTTGTGTAAAGAGCCTTTGGGTCAGAGAAGAATCACAGTGTGTGTCCTGTCTTTAAAAAAAAAAGCGAGTGAATATGATATCACAGGACAGAGAAGATAGAGTCAAAAGCTGGAGCTCCAAAAGCTGGAGTCCGGAGCTGGACTGTGATGAGAAGATCGGTATAGAGGATAAGAGTCTACTGTGAAACAACAGAAAGGGCTTGAATGATCAGATGACGTTTGTGCTCTGGGAGGAAAGTGAAATAATTAATTTGAGGGATTTGGTCAAAGCCGAATGATTGAGTTAATGTTATTTAGTTGTACTGATGTAGATGTTCCTCTCTGTTTTCTGAAGCATGTTCAGTCCTCTGAGTGGTAAGCAGCAGCCGGCTGGTCCGGGCCTCACAGATCTGCAGCAGTACAGTCAGTGGCTGGCCAGCAGACATGAGGCCAGTTTGCTGCCCATGAAGGAAGACCTGGCGCTCTGGCTCTCTAGCATGCTGGGTAAGTCAAGCTGTTCCTGCCTCAATGCCTTGGCAGTTCCTGTATCTTTCATATCAGTGATTCTCTATTCAATTGCTATAAGAAATATGTTCTGAGTTAAGATTGGAAAAAAAAAACAAGATAACAGCAATGCAGATATGCACATCAACATTTAAAAGGAATAGGAAAATGCATCAAAAGTCTTTTGTTTCTGACGTCAACGATCGTCGATCAAATTAAACCATGTTTTTGCCAAATTCATCTGTCACTTAGTAATATGGCTAATGCTAATACTATATAGGTTGGTAATAATACTGTACTTCTGCTGAAATAATCTAGTGTGTGTTATACTGTTTCATTGGTAGCAATTTCTTGTACGGTCATATTCCGCATGTACATACTATTATTAGCAATTACAATAACAGGGTAATAACTAGGCTTAAACCTAACCTTAACCCATATAGTTACCTTAAACTATCCAGTACTTTATTGTGAAAGTACACTATAAGTTCTAGTACTATAAAATAACCATTTTATTCGTTAAACTGAAATAGTGAAATGAAAAGAAAGCAAGATAAAAGAAAATTAAAAAAATTATATTTAAACATTGAACACTACATCCAAAACAATGCTCGCCAGGTAACCTAAAGTCATTTACTTTATGGTAATATCTAAATTAACCCTCTATGGCAGGGGTGCCCAAACTCTGTCCTGGAGGGCCGGTGTCCTGCAGAGTTTAGCTCCAACCACAATTAGACACACCTGAACAAGCTAATCAAGCTCTTACTAGGCATGCTAGAAACTTCCCGGCAGGTGTGTTGAGGCAAGTTGGAGCTAAACTCTGCAGGACACCGGCCCTCCAAGACCGAGTTTGGGCAGCCCTGCTCTATGGCATTGATCCTCAAATCTGGCCCACGAGATCCACTTTCCTGCATGTTTAGCTCTAACCCTGATCAAACACACCTGAGCATGCTAATCATTGTCTTCAGGATCATTAGAAAATCACAGCTAGGTGAGTTTGATCAGGGTTGGAGCTAAAATCTGTAGCACATTGGCCCCCCAGGGCAAGATTTGAGGAACCCTGCTCTATTGCATAGTGTTGCCCTGAGGCAACAAACCACTTTTTTGGACCTCAGCCCCCCCACCCCCCTTAATTTTTTCAATAAAAAAAATATATACATATAATATCACCTGACATGTCTGTTCAATAAAATGATGGGCTGAAGTGGGTGTAGCCTTTTGTTTGGGGATGGAGCAGTCATTTTAGGAAGCAAAGCTGCATGGGACACAGTGCCACAAATTGGTAAGATAAATAGCACTGTTTAACATGTTTAAAATGAAATATCTTTATATAAAAAAATATATGCATGTGCATCAATATGTAAATAAGTATGTTTGATTATTAAAATACTTATATTGTTTTTATTTATATACTAAAACTGTGTTTTTTTTTGTTTGTTGCCTCGGGGCAACATTGTGCAGTTAGAGCACTTTTGTTCAGGCAATAGGTCTATCATGCTAAAGTGTGGATGCATATTAGAACCATATGGTGCATTCAAGTCCTCCTATGAATTTTATGTTTACGAGCTCTGAAATCTCAAAGAATGTGCATTATGTGTGTAATTGATATTTATTATTATTATTATTATTATTATTATGCTGCCACAGAGAATCAAGCCTATCAGCTGATAAACTGATAGGCTTGAAAATGAGTAGAGTTTTCTGGCAAACTTTATCTACACACACACACAGTGGCACACAAGCAGTGGCACACACGCAGTTACACACACACACAGACACACACGCAGTGACACACACACAGACACACACACACGCAGAGACACACACGCAGAGACACACACGCAGTGGCACACACGCAGTGACACAAACAGTGGTACCCACACAGTGGGACACACGCAGTAGCACACACAGGCAGTGACACACACACAGTCTCTCTCACACACAGACACACACACACACACACACAGTGGCACACATGCAGTGACACACACAGTAGCACACACAGGCAGTGACACACACACAGTGACACACACACAGTGGCACACAC